CCTGCTTCTTCCTTGGCTTCCTCTTCTTCTAACTTTATGATTGAGCCAGTACCTACCTCCGAAACGGCGGTGGACTCTTGACGGAATGTATGACTTTATATCTCAAAGGATAGGATGTGAATTTAAATTTCTCCCTTGTGCCTAATTCGTTAAGCACCACGCCATGTGGGAATACGGGGGAGTGGAGGTATCGCTCCGCCATTCTTGACCTCGGCATGAGATGGTGAATGGTGAGCTTCAGAACCCGCCAGTTTCATTGCCGGTGAAACCTGCGGTACTAGCTGAAGGTGGGGTGGGCCCTAGAGCCGGTCTGGACTCTGTGAAGTAGAGAAACATTTCTTGCACCTGCCAGGAATTGAATTTCGACCGTCCAGCCCGTCACTGTGCTGAATGCGCTCCCTTCAAAACTTCACATTCGTAACCATAACGCCTATAGGTCTCTCAACACTGCACAACAGATGTGTCGGAGAAGTTGCCGCATAGTCAAGGCGAAAAAGTTTTGTATTGACGAACATACGCGCAGTCCAATGGAGTTATGTTCAGCAGCTTGTCTCTTACACGAATTCATTTGAAGATCGGCATGATGTACGTGTATTTCAATCGAAACAAATCAGTTACGTATCTCTCAGCGACCCAAATTTCAATCCGATCGCCATATATAAGAGATTTCTTATAACAATTCTATCTTCCGGAATGTAACGCAATGTAGTCTGGTGAGTCAACCGAGGTTTCGGAGATACATAACTCAACCTTCATTATCGAAGAAAGCTTCCTTGCTGCCTGCTTCAGGTTGGTTTCCTGCTTGTGTTACTCTCTGACCCTAACAGGTGGCGATGTTCTTTAAAAACGTAGATGAATTTCCAGCTTTGAAAACTCGCGTCAATATCGAACTTCACGAGGACGAGTACTTCCTGTGAAACTGAGTGCCCCTTACGTGGCAATGAAACCACTTCCGTTTTATTGAAGTTTCAGAAGGGTGTCCGTAACAACCCGACGAGCAGCGCGCTTCCACACAATTTCAGTTGCTCACCTAAAATAAAAATTAAACTTAACGGAGCTGAACCCTTCTTGAGAAGCCGCCAGCTGTGCAGCTATTCAAGAACGTCCCAGCACTTTATGGAAAGTTCAGGTTCATTACCGTGTTCACAAGAGCCCTCCACTGGTCCCTATCCTGAGCCAGATCGATCCAGTCCATACCACCCCATCCTATCTCTCTAAGAACCGTTTCAATATTATCCACCCACCTACGTCTTGGTCTTCCTAGTCGTTCTTTCCTTATGGCTTTCCCACCAACATCCTATATGCATTTTTCTCCCCCGTTCGTGCTACAAGCCCTGCCCATCTCACCCTCCTTGACTTGATCATTCTAATTATACTTGGAGAAGAGTACAAGTTATGAAGCTCCTCATTATGCAGTTTTCTCCAATCTCTTGTCACTTCATCCCTCTTCGATCCAAATATTCTCCCCAGCACCCTCAGTTCACGTTCCTCCCTTAATGTCAGAGACCAAGTTTCACACACATACAGAACCACAGGCAAGATTATAGTTTTGTATATTCTAATTGTTTTTAGACAGCAGACGAGAAGACAAAGTTCTGGGCTGAAAGGTAGCGAACAGTTGCTCATCTCCTCTTCACATCGAAATGAAAGTTCCTTACAGCATCCACAAAAGCCCGATTAACTAAAATCAGACCAAACTTAAACAGAATCAAGAATATAAACAATTGTATCTTCAGCGACATTGCGTCATGTGCTCAGGTGAAAGTCAATCGACGTTTCAGAGGAACAGTCACAGAGTACGCCATGCAAGAAACCAGAATAAAGGACCAACATTTAAAAACTTGATCCATAATTCTGGTCAAGAATAATTTCATAAACCTAATCTCAGAAGAGAACACAGATGTTATGAGAAGGGGCTGAGAAGGTGCGACAGCTCAGCCGGTATCAGCGACTATCGGGTTGGACGACCGTGGAGTCAGGTTTCGATTTCCAGCCGACCGGAAGTATTTTTTGTTATCTCCACAGTGCCCAGAGCGATTCCTGGCCCGCCCAGCCTCCTATCCAATGGGTACGGAGGGCATGGAGATGGACACCCACCTCCAATTAGTGCCAAGGTTATGAATGATGGAGCTATACTGTCACTCTCCCATAGTCTTCATGGCGTGAGTTAATTTTACAGTTTACATTCATGAAGGGCCTGATTTTGCCTGATAATTTTCGAAAGGATCAGCGTATTTGGTCAGACTAAAACTCTAAGAAGGAGAACACGTACTATTTTCAGTAATACTATTAAAACGGTAGGTAATATTTCATAGCGTAAGAATTTTGGCGCCCTAAACCCGTTATTGACTCTTATATATCTCGAATTACAAGACAAATAAAAACATGTTTGCCCTGTTATCTCAAAACGCGCCTAATTTTATCCGTAAATTTTTGCTGCAACCATTTTCTTTCCAGTGAATATTCAGCGAATCACATGCGCACAAAGACGCATGTACAAGTAGGTCTTCACGTGAAATACCCTTCTATTTTTGACCAATTTTAACTAAAACAAGTCGACATACTTTCGTAAAATTACCAAATATACAATTTCATTAACCCTCTAAAGACAGAACTTCGAAGTAATATATTGTGACATGTTGACCCCTACCTCCCCAGCGGTGCGTGGCGGTGGCGTAACGCTCGCGTTCTTACGGTAATAGGCGAGGT